GGGGGGGGGGCAATGTAATTCATTAGTGACATAAGCAAAACTCGAATGGCATAATGCTCATCAAAAGCCCTCCTTTATCCATCTGCTAGCTAGACTACCACTTGACTGCTGAGCGGATCATCTCTCCAAAAGCAATTTACTTATATGTATTCTATTTCATTGATTCATAGGATTTAAAACTGTAGCGAACCCTTATTTCCAGCAGCGCCGCATTGCACTGGAGGATGAACTTGCAAGACGAGCAGCAGACCAACAGCTGACCAATACAATCTCACCTGTATCTGTGCGATTAGCCCAACTCATCGACGACGCTAATCGACTTTTGGGAGATGCAGAAGGAGAACCGGCACGATATAGACCAACAGCAGAGGAGTTGAGTAATGAATGCAAGAATGCCATAGCCCTTCTGCAGGATGCACCAAAATCTCACCCTTCTGTGCAAGCCCTCGAAGCAGTCCTATCTCCTGCGGAAAGCATGACCAGAGTTTTGCAAGAACATGCTGACAACTGGGATACATTCCTACGGTTGAGGGATGAAGCGGACATGGAATTAGGCAACTTGAGAGGACCTTTGGAAGATGTTTCGCAGAAACCACGAAGATCCACGAATGATGCCCAGCAGGATTTCGAAGCATTATCTGCGCAAAGAGAGAAGACTAGTATTCTTACAGACAAAATTCGACAACTTCAACAAATCTGTGAACTACTCGACCCCCTGGAGAGTCCTCGCGCAGACATTCGCTTCATTGATGTTGACACTGAGCAGCTTGAGAAGCAATACGATGATGTGTTATCTGATTTATCATCGGAGATTGAAGAAGAGAACCTTCTATGTGATTCTATGGATCACTTCAACAACGAGATAAACTCCATTTCTGACCAATTGTCCAAGGAGCCTACGAGGGAAAACCTCGAAAATATTGAAAAATTCCAGGTCCCAGCTCTTCGTGCACAATTAGCTATGCTGAAGGAAAAACAAGATGAGGCGAAGAATTCTCGTAAACATGTAGATACAGACTCTTCTCGACTCGCAGCCCTAGAAGATCGTATGAAGAACCTTGACTCGATGCTAGAAGACGCGAAGAAAGCCGCTGAGAGGGACGAACA